GTAAGAACTAATCTGTTCGCGTCTCTCGAAGAGCCCAAGACGCCAACAACTACCACACAAAAAGGTGGCCTTGGCACGAAAGGGGAGTGGTTTGGTCCTCCCAAGAACCAAATGCTGGAGCTTAAGGATCTCACAGCCCAAGTCGAGGATACCCAAACTTCGGTGGGACCAAGTAGCTCTAAGCGCTCTCCGGATAAATGCCCGTTGACCGAACACAGAGCGTATCTAGTCCGGATGTCCCAGCAGACATTCCCACTCTGCTAGGCCCATCTGAGGATTCTGTGTTGTCGGAGGATAACCGAAAACCCGTAATCAATAGAAACGTCCCTGACAAGGGTAACTGCATCAAAATACAGGGACTACCCGAGTCCTTGGCCGAAACACCTAACAAAAGAAACGACGCTGACAAAGGCTTATTTCAACAGCTCCTAAATGAGCTGTTGCAACCATCTGAGGACGTATTCTATCAAAAGATATTTCGCCTTGGAAGTCGCCTAAATGCAACTCAGCAGACTAGGCCCCGACCACTTAAAATCGTCCTAGTCAGTGACAAGGAAGCAAAACTTCTACTGTCTAGGCGTTTCTGATTGAAGTACTCTAGAAAGGATGTGTTTTTTTTTCAGCCGGATTACTCCCCTGCCGACAGGATGTAACGCCGCATGCTAGTTCTAGAATTGAGGGAACGCAGAATCAGAGAACCGAAATTAGTGATCAACAAGGACCAGTTAGTCGAAAGACATTCTCCCCCATCATGGACCAAACCGATTCGCATGACCGCGCAGCTATGCCAGTAGACTGCGTCGGGGTTAAAAATGGACCACGCAAGAATGCAAAACTGGCATTTATGTATACTAATGCACAAAGCTTTATTTCCAAAATGGATGAACTAAGAATCAACGTATCCGACCTCCTTCCTGATGTTATTTCGATAACAGAAACATGGTTGTCGGACCAGAGTGACAATCGCGAGCTTGGAATACCCGGTTTTCAACTGTTTCGGAAAGACAGAGACAATAAAAGAGGCGGAGGCGTAGCAAATTTCGTTAAGAATGGTTTGTATGTTTCTGAAAAAATGGCGAATCTGTCTTGCCAAGAAGCGGTATGGTTAACTGTAAGAGCAACGGGTTCCCAAAGCCTTGATATCTTAACTGTCTACCGACCACCGAGGAACAATCCTGAGGCCGATGCCCTATTGCTGGATGAGCTTGAAAACCTCGCTATGCGACCAAATACCATTATTGTTGGGGGACTTCAATGCTCCTACCATCAACTGGAGCTCCTCCTTAGCTGATTGCCCCGAATCGGCATTCGGCACCCAGCTCCTGAATATCACTCAATCCCTACTCCTCACCCAGCACGTCACATTTCCCATATGAATTCGTGAAGGCCAGCAGACGAACTGCCCCGACCTTGTGCTCACTAAGTCGCTTGACAATAATGACATTGTGAATTGCTTACCCCCGCTAGGCCAGAGTGACCATGTAGTTCTC